GCCGCGGCCCCTCCGCCCTTCCCCATGACGCGGGACTGGGGGATGGATCTGGGCGCCCCAAGCGCCCCCTCGAGGACACCCGCGCGTCCTCCCGCGCCTCGCCGGAAGGCCACCACCAGGAGGCCGACCTCCGTCGACAGCTGACCTCCCGGGAGCCCCGGCGCTCCCCGGCGCACGATGGCCGGCGCTCACCCGCGACTCCCGGCGCTCTCCTCCGTGCGATTCGCGCCGTTTCCCGTCCCTCTATGACCGACGCTCCTCAGCGCGCGGAGATGGCCGGCGCTCCCCGCAGCGGGGTGTGGATCGGCGCTCTCCAGCGCAGGAGAGTCGTCGTGACCGCCCCCGCTCCCCTTCGCCCGTTCGCCGCCGTGGCCGCTCGTCGTCGCCCTCCCGGCCGCTCCCCGCTAGCACCGAGACGGCCCCTCCGCGCCCCTACCAGCCCCCCCGCAACCATCCAAGCGTGCCTCCCGGCAATGGGGGCGCCGGGGCCTGGGGTCTCCAAGGTGCCAAGAAGAAGAAGCGAAAGGGCCCCGGTCGCCCGCTCAACCCCGCGGCCCCGACTCCCGCTTCCTCGGCCGTGGCCGCTTTCGGGGGCCCCCATGATCCTCGGCCGTGCTTCAACTGTGACATTGCTGACCACTTCCAGATCGAGTGCCCCAACCCGCCGATGTGCTACCTCTGCAAGGACTCGGGCCACCCCGCGACCCTCTGCCCGAACCGCCCGATGTCGGAGGAGCTCATGCTGTACGGACACGGCAGTGAGGGTCTCGGCTTCTTCCACGTCAAGGTCGAGGACGTCCCTCCCCCCATCCCCGTCACTCCTTGCGGTCGTGACCATTGTGGGGGCGGGAGTCGCCTCACCGGAGATGATCAAGGCCAAGCTCAACCACCTCTGTCGCCGTGTCTGGGACTGGCAGGTGACTCCGACCTCGGACAACTCCTTCACCGTGGTCTTCCCCGACGCCCTTAGGCTGGGCCTCTGCACTCGTAGCGACAACATCACCCTCGCCCTCAACAAGCTCGTCGTCAACATCTCTGAGCCCCTGATAGACCCCAAGGCTGTGGCTGTGCTGGATACTGCTTGGATCCTCATCGCCGGCCTCCCCCGACATTGCTCGCTCTGAGAAGGTGATCCGCAGTATGTCCAAGCTCCTGGGCAAGGTGGTGGTGGTGGACGAGTTCTCTCTTCGCAAGGAGGAGGAGGTCCGTATCAAGGTCAAATGCATGGACTCCTCCACCCTCCGTTGTTGGAAATATGCCCTAGAGGCAATAATAAAATGGTTATTATTATATTTCCTTGTTCATGATAATTGTCTATTGTTCATGCTATAATTGTGTTACCCGAAAATCGTAATACATGTGTGAATACATAGACCACAACATGTCCCTAGTGGGCCTCTAGTTGACTAGCTCGTTGATCAATGGATGGTTACGGTTTCCTAACCATGGACATTGGATGTCATTGATAAAGGGATCACATCATTGGGAGAATGATGTGATGGACAAGACCCAATCCTAAGCATAACACAAGATCATGTAGTTCATTTCCTAGAGCTTTTCTAATGTCAAGTATCATTTCCTTAGACCATGAGATCGTGTAACTCCCGGATACCGTAGGAGTGCTTTGGGTGTACCAAACATCACAACGTAACTAGGTGGCTATAAAGGTATACTACAGGTATCTCCGAAAGTGTCTGTTGGGTTGGCACGGATCGAGACTGGGATTTGTTACTCCGTATGACGGAGAGGTATCTCTGGGCCTACTCGATAATGCATCATCATAATGAGCTCGATGTGACCAAGTGGTTGGTCACGGGATCATGCATTATGGAACGAGTAAAGTGACTTGCTGGTAACGAGATTGAACGAGGTATTGGGATACCGACGATCGAATCTTGGAAAAGTAATGTACCGATTGACAAAGGGAATTGTATACGGGATTACTTGAATCCTCGACATCGTGGTTCATCTAATGAGATCATCATGGAAAATGTGGGAGCCAACATGGGTATCCAGATCCCGCTGTTGGTTATTGGCCGGAGAGCTGTCTCGGTCATGTCTGCGTGATTCCCGAACCCGTAGGGTCTACACACTTAAGGTTCGATGACGCTAGGGTTATAAGGAAGATATGTATGTGATTACCGAATGTTGTTTGGAGTCTCGGATGAGATCCCGGATGTTGCGAGGAGTTCCAGAATGGTCCGGAGGTGAAGATTTATATATGGGAAGTTGTCATACGGTCACCGGAAAAGTACGGGGGCATATCGGTATTGTACCGGGGCCACCGGAGGGGTTTCGGGGGTCCACCGGGAGGGGCCACCTCTCTTGGAGGGCCTCATGGGCCGTAGAGGAAAGGGAACCAGCCCTTGGAGGGCTGGGCGCATCCCCCATTGGGCCCATGTGCCTAGGGTTGGGGGGAAACCCTAGAGGGGGCGCCCCCCTTGCTTGGGGGGCAAGCCCCCTCCCCTTGGCCGCCCCCCTCTAGATCTCATCTAGAGGGGGCCGGCCCCCTTACCCCTTCCCCTATAAATAGAGGGGCGAGGGGAGGGCTGAACACCACACCAAAGGCGCATCCCCTCCCCTCCCCAACACCTCTCCTCCTCCGTTAAGAGCTTAGCGAAGCCCTGCCGGAGTACTGCCGCTCCATCACCACCACGCTGTTGTGCTGCTGTTGGAGCTCTCTTCCTCAACCTCTCCCTCCTCCTTGCTGGATCAAGGCGTGGGAGACGTTTCTGCTCCGTACGTGTGTTGAACATGGAGGTGCCGTCCATTCGGCGCTAGGATCATCGGTGATTTGGATCACGACGAGTACGACTCCATCAACCCCGTTCTCTTGAACGCTTCCGCTTGCGATCTACAAGGGTATGTAGATGCACTCCTCTCTCTCTTGTTGCTAGATGACTCCATTGACTGATCTTGGTGATGCGTAGAAAATTTTAAATTTCTGCTACGATCCCCAACAGTGGCATCATGAGCTAGGTATATGCGTAGTTTCTATGCACGAGTAGAACACAAGTTTGTTGTGGGCGTCGATGTTGTCAATTTACTTGCCACTACTAGTCTTATCTTGTTTCGGCGGCATCGTGGGATGAAGCGGCCCGGACCGACCTTACACATACGCTTACGTGAGACAGGTTCCACCGACTGACATGCACTAGTTGCATAAGGTGGCTAGCGGGTGTCTGTCTCTCCCACTTTAGTCGGATCCGATTTGATGAAAAGGGTCCTTATGAAGGGTAAATAGAAATTGGCATATCACGTTGTGGCTTTGGCGTAGGTAAGAAACGTTCTTGCTAGAAACCTATAGGAGCCACGTAAAAAATTTGCAACAACAATTAGAGGACGTCTAACTTGTTTTTGTAGCATATGCCGTGTGATGTGATATGGCCAAAAGGATGTGATGAATGCTATATATGTGATGTATGAGATTGATCATGTTCTTGTAATAGGAATCACGAGTTGCATGTCGATGAGTATGACAACCGGCAGGAGCCATAGGAGTTGTCTTAATTTATTGTATGACCTACGTGTCAATGAATAACGCCATGTAATTACTTTACTTTATTTCTAAACCGTTAGCCATAGTAGTAGAAGTAATAGTTGGCGAGA